ATCTCACCTCAAGGTCTATTTAGTGGCTGCACTGCAGCTTGACTGTATCACATGCTCTTCATGAGCATCATGCTCGGTTGTTATATTTTAGATCTTTGACATTTCCAGAGTATTTTAAGATCTAGATGATCCTGTGGTATGAGAGAAAGCTCCAGAACAGCTGCTAAATGGATATTGTGGAGACACCTGTAAGATGGGAAATTAAGCAGAAAAATGAACACTTGGAGCTGATTTGTGTTCAGCTCCTTCCTTAAGAACACACACTGTTGATCAGAGAGTGATTTCACTCAGACGAGCAGCTCTTTAATGCACAGATGAACCACAGCTATTGTCTGTTTCCATCTCTCTGGAATAAATACTTTTGCTACCATATCTTTCTGGAAGCACAAACAGAGCTGCTGAGCTCTGCAGCAATGACACAAAAGCAACACTGAATTGTCCTCACGGGCAGCCAATGAGCTGAAAGCAGCAGCGGTTGAGTGTCTACCAGCAGCCGGCAGGTACCAGTTTCCAGCTGGACTCCCGTGGGTGTTGGGGGCCAAAAAGAATTTTCTAATCCGTCACCATTGTACCAATTGTCTATAAAAATTAATGTGCGAGTGAAGCTCTGCCTTCACATGAGGGCTATCAAATTTCAAATCACAGTTTACAAACAAACAAAGAAATGAATGACTCTGAAGATTTCAAGGTAACAACTCCACATCTAACTTTTTCATTTGCATTTTGTTTCAGCACACAAGTGTGTAAGGATACAGCAGCTTTGGCTTCAAATATATCCTTTTTATTTGACTTTGTTGACTAGATTGGTAACTCTTTTCATATAAACTTCTCTTACCATACTTGTGAAAGACCCATTGTGTGTTTTCCAGGAGGGCCTGAGTAGAAGCAAAGACCAAATAGATGGCACAGGGATGAGCCTTGGCAACAGGAAGGGAGTGAGGGTGACGGGGAAATATGTGCCGCCGGTGGACTGGAGCAGCAGTGGAAGTGGTCCATCCATTGTCCACGCTCCCACCAGGACCCCTTTACCTCCAGACACCCCTACTGTAATCTCCATTGGCCATCTGCCTCAGAAGCGCCTAGAGCAAGTTGATGATCCCAGGGTGGATGAACCTGCCGTTGGGGAGGACTGGACCAGAGGGGCGAGCGTCCCCCGGCAGACCATGGAAGAGCTGAAGACCATCTTGAGAGACAGTCCTCTACTCAGCTTACGGGGAAGAGTTGATGGGAAGCCAGGGAGTCCTTACACGTACCTGCACGGAAGCAGCACCGGCGGTGGTGGTGGAAGGCCTGATGGACGACAGGACGATGGAAACCCTAACAGGGCGTTCAGCACCTTCAAACCCCACTCTGATGCTTCCAGAAGGGGGCCCAGCTCCACAGATAGCACATCTATTCAGTTGCTTTCCACCATGGATTCATCCAGCTCATTCAGGTCTGATGTAAACACAAATAGACAGCCTGGAGTCAGGGCAAACACATACGCAAGCATTGGCTCCTGCGAAGAGACTGGAGCTTCTGGTACAGGTTGGTGAAACTTTAGTTAAATAACAAGTTTATCCCTGATATAAATTAAGAAATATTCTATTAAAAGGTCAAAATTGAGCAAATAGAGATTAAATAGCTTCAGCTCTTTGGGGACAAACCATTAGAAGATGCTGGCTCACAGGGTTCCAGCACTCAAGTCTAATTTTAAATGGGTTTTTTGCCTGATTCTAGTTCCTGTTTTAATGTAGAATTTGACTTGGATTCAATGATTGATGGATATTGAATTCTTTAACCTAAAAAATTAGCAATTGGTCTTTTAACTTCTATGAAATTTGGATTTTTAAGGCTGATATTGATATAGACATTTGGGAGTTAAAAAGAAATCTAGTAACGATATATCAGCCCATAGTAATTTTACGTTGACATAACATTTAAATTTTTCATAATTGTGACAAAGATACGTCCTGGGCCAGACATTACAGTTGAAAAATCTACTTGTTAGTGGCCTCTGATCGGCAAACTCTGTCCTGATCAATCTGTTTCTAAA